CTCTTCCTTTGTTTTGATCTTTTCTCTTTTTGTCTAAAGAGGAATGCTGTTCAATTTCCCTTTCTCTGCTAACTCTGTAGCGCCGCGTTCCTTTTACATGATGGTCTGGGCAGCTCAGTTCATAACTGCATTGAAGCTTTACACATTACTGGATGGAGGTACCTGCACTCTTTGTTGAAACGACATTTTCCCTTCCTCAACATGTTCGCACATTTTCTGGTGTGTTTATTCCAACAATCTCTGCCATATAGGCACATACCTTTAGCATAGTAACTGCAAATATTCTGACTACCTATATTTATTGATTCTGTGACTCGGTTTTTAGCGAGCCACTAACCAGACTGAGTCAAAGACCTAAATGAATTTTTATGAGAGAGAGAGAGAGAATTTGGTAGACACACACCTATCTGGTATTATCCTGACACCAAATGACTTCGAAAAGGCGATAAATGACATGCCTATGCACTCTGCCCCAGGCCCAGACTCATGAAACTCCATATTCATCAAGAACTGCAAGAAGCCTCTATCACATGCTCTATCTAGGCTGGAATATTGCTGCACACTAACAGCACAGTTCATGGCAGGTGAAATTACTGACCTAGAAAATGTACAGAGAACCTTCATGGCGCGCATAACTGTGATAAAGCACCTCAATTACTTGGAATGCTTGAAGTTCCTAAACCTGTGCTCTCTAGAATGCAGGCAGGAGAGATACATGATTATATAGACTTGGAAAATCCTAGAGGGAATAGTACCAAACTTGCACATGAAAATCACTCCCTACAAAAGCAAAAGACTCGGCAGATGATGCAACGTCCCCCCAATGAAAAGCAGGGGTACCACTACCACGATAAGAGACAACACAATGAATGTGAAGGGCCCAAGACTGTTCAACTACCTCCCAGCATACATAAGCCGGATTACCAGTAGACCCCTGGCTGTCTTGAAGCAGGCAGTAGACTGGCACCCAGCCAGGCTGTGGGTCATATGTTGGACTGCATGCAGCTAGCAGTAACAGCCTGGTTGATCAGGCCCTGGTCCACCATGAGGCCTGGTCACAGACTAGGCTGGGGGGGGGGTGTTGACCCCAGGAACTCTCCAGGTATATGTGTAGAGAACCTAGGATAACCCAAAAAGGTCAAAGTGAGTTATTTCCATATTCCTTCACTCAGAGTGTCATTTCTTCTAAAAAGGGTGTTACATGAGAATGGGAGTGTTCCTCTTTATTTATTCTACTGTATCAACGTGGCGACAGCTTCTATACCATGTAAAGTGTTTGTATTATGGTACAGTGGAACCTCGTTTTTCGGCCGTAATCCATTTCAGAAGGTCGGCCTAAATTTGAAGCAATATTTCCCATAAGAATTAATGTAAATGCAATTAATCCATTCCAGACACCCAAAAATATTCACACAAAAAAAACATTTTTTAAAGATTAATTATTGCTTTACATACACAAAACAGTGAGAGCTAAATAAAATAAGAACATTTAAATCACTATTACGTACCATTATTGAGGACTTGTTGGCTTATGGAAGACAGGGAGGAGGAGAGAGGGAAGGCAGATTATTGTTTGGAAGGGAAAATCCCCCTCCTTAATTAAGGTCTTTAGGTATCAAAGCCCTCTATGGGGTTACATCCCTTCTTTGTCTTTAATGCCATTAGGACCAGCTTGAGAGCCACTGGACCCTTGTTGCACAAAATAACTGTCCAGAGTGCTCTGTTTCTGGTGTCTCTAAGATTTCCCTAAATTGGGACAAGGTTTTGTCACTGAACATGTTGCAGATATGGCTTGTTTCAGCTTGGTCAGGGTGATATTTCTCCACAAAAGTTTGCACCTCATTCCACTTTGCACAAATGTCCTTAATCACTGAAGGTACATCCTTCAGTTTCTCTTCCTCCTCCTCCTCCTCTGAAGCAAGCTCCTCAACTGTGGTCTGTTGCTGTTCCAGTTGAAGGTGTTGCAGTTCTTCAGTGGTTAGCTCTTCCCTGTGGTCCTCCACCAACTCTTCCAAATCCTTGCCACTCACATCCAACCCCATGGATTTCCCCAGAGCCACAGTAGATTCCACAACAGGCAGAGGGTCAACAGGGTCAGGGTCAGCTTCAAACCTTTCAAAATCCTTCTCGACGACACAGTCTGGCCACAATTGTCTCTAAGAAGAGTTCAAAGTCCTGGAAGTCACTCCCTGCCAAGCCTTACCTATTAGGTTTATGCAGCTGTAGATACTGAAGTGATTCCTCCAGAACTCTTTTAGGGTCAATTCAGTGTCCGAGGTCACTTCAATAAAATACAATAAAATTTTTATTTCTTTGCAAGTTTACATTGAGATTCTGTACTTACAATAATGAGTTGCAATGCAAAGAGAGCCACTATCATGCCATGGCATTATGGGCAGACTAAATTAATGGCTCACAGACTACTTAATACTAGAGAAATTGATCATAGTTTGTTTAACCCTTTCAGGGTCCGTCCCGTAGATCTACGGCTTTATGGTGAGTGTCCAAACCGTAGATCTACGCCATGAGCTCAGCTCACTCTGATAAACTGTGAGTGGTACATTTGGGCCTAGATATGAGAGAATACATCTATGTGGTATGTGTGCACCACATAAAACAGATCCTGCAGCACACTGTGTATAATGAGAGAAAAAAACTGAAATCGTGATTTTTCGATTAAAACAGCAACTTTGCAGTGTTTTTTCGTATGTTTTTTATAGTTGTATTTGCGATTTCTTGGTCTCATTTGATAGAATGGAAGACATATTACAGAAATAGAGATGATTTTGATTGGTTTTAGCACTGGAAATGGCTTGAAACTGAGCTCAAAGTAGCGGAAATGTTAAATTTTTGCCGATATTCAAGAGTAAACAAACGACCTCACACGTCTAATACACGTCAGCTGGTGGGTCTAATATACATTCACAAATATGGTGATGATATTTATACAATTATTACAGTATTGCATAGCAGTAAATCTTCTATTTTTTGGTGTGAATAAAAATTCATTATGTGAATAAAAAATCAAAATGGAATTTATTTGTAAAGCCTCAAAACATGACTAATGAACAGAGGAAATGTTAGTTTAGTGCCAGGAATGCCTACATTGTTTATTCTGGACCCTATTTTGAAATTGGAATATTTTGAACTTTGTGTTAAATTGGCCAAATTAACAATTTCCGATCACTTTATTTTGTAGTTGAAACAGTTGACTTGGCGATTTCTTGTGCTCAATCGATAGAATAGAAGTAATACTAGTGAAATAGCTAAGAATTTGGTTGATTGGAATAATGTAATTGGCGTAAAATGGGAGTCAAAGTCGGCAAAATCGCCGATTCGTAAATATCGCTGACACATCAAAATTCGCGAGAGCATAATTTCGTCAATTTTCCACCAAATTTCGTACTTTTTGTTTTATTACCTTCACAAAAAGATTCTCTACGATTTCATAAGAAAAAATAACAAATTTTTTTTTTGAAAATTCTTGGACACTGGTGCGTGACTCCAGATTTGGGCCTTGGACCCTGAAAGGGTTAAGTTGTACATCAGTTTTTATTTAAAGCAGACAGTAAGTTAATTCAAGTTACAATCTGGGGATATTACATTGGGACAATTTGAAGGTATTTTGTAGGTTTTGTATATCAGTAGTAAATATTTAAGTTATATTATTGGAATATAATATTGAGCGCTGGTGAAAGTTTACAGTATGAGAATGCTACAGTATGGTGTAAGGCAGTATAGTTTTGTGAAGGTATTTATACTACTATGTAGTAGTATTAAGTTGTGTATGAACTTTGGGTATTTAAATTTTGAAGTGTTAAGATTTAGGTAATTGGGAGATCTTGATATAAGTACAGTAGACCCTCGTTTTTCATAAGGCTCGAAAGTCGCAATTTTCGAAAATCGTAATTTTTTTCGTCAAAACATTGACTCGAAAATCGTCGTTTGACTCGCAAATAGTCATTTGTCTCGGACACGTATGCACAGCCCCAAGCAGCCTTGCACTCCATTCTCAGCCAGTGTGCTATTGTTTATCAGTGAGTGAGGATGATCCCACAAGTTCATACGATACATTTCACAATATTCCATTCGTTTTAGTGCTTGCAACTGCTAAATAAGCCACCATAGCTCCAAAGAAAGCTTCTAGTGCCAGCCGTTTGGTAAAGAATGTGAGAAACTCATATAATTTAAGAAAAAATTTGTAGAAAAATGTGAAAGTGGTGGTGGTAGAGTGGTAGCAGTTGTGATAGTGGTAGAGGGTGGTAGTGAGGGTGGTAAAGGATTGTAGTTATGGTGGTAGAGGGTGGTAGCAGTTGTGATAGTGGTAGAGGGTGGTAGTGATGGTAGTGGTTGTGATGGTGGTAGAGGGTGGTAGTGGTTGTGGTTGTGATGGTGGTAGAGGGTGTGTTGGAACTTATTCGGTCCTAAGTTCCACAAGGTAAATAAGCCGTATGAAGGCCCTAACATTTCACGGATAGACAGTCTGAGTTTTGCGGACCCTCACATCTACCTAAAACACATACATACTCCTGGGTTGGCGAAGGTGGTTGGAAGGTACATTTTAATTGATAGATTTACCCTTTATGGAAGATGTAGATAGTTTATACTGTTAGTAAACTAATATTAGGATTATTGAGGCAACTGGAGATAATAATGTAGACCTAAGGCCTTAATGTAGGTAGGAATATGCCTTTAATATAGGCAAACACTAGGTCATATTAGCTAGTGAGAACTGGCAGCCTCAAGTTTGAACGGCGAGGCACGGGGTTTTGAGACATGAGTGCCTCCTTCTAAGACGAGACTCCAAGCTTGGCACACCGCCGTGAACAGTAGGGTGGCACCCCACGTGTCTACACATACTAGGCCCTGGGAAAATCTGGTGGAGGCACCTCAAAGTACTGTAGGCAATGCCTCCTCCGTCAGGCCCATACAGTAAGAAAAGACCTCCCTTTCTTTCTCAGTATTTTGGCCAGTTTCTGGAGGAAATTGTGAGTGAGTTGAACTGTGGGTCTTTGTGCAGTCAGATGCCCAAAGACCAGTACGTACCAGCGTCCCCTCTTTGTTAAGCTTAGAAGCTAGTGTCACTTCCTGCATAGTTTTACTAGGGGATACTCACCCCTTTGGAATCAGGAATTTCTGAGGTGCAGGCAGGTCACTAATACCGACTGAATATTGCAGGAATTAGCTTCCCGGCTGCACGTGGTCTTGAAGGGGAAGTCCAGAGGGGCTAAGGCTTAGGGGTGTTGAAGACCAGGATATATTCTCCAACACCAAGTAAGTTAGTCCTTTATTTGTGCATGAAGGTGAGATTTTTTACAACATTAGTTATTTTTGGAAATGTGTCATATAAGCTGCTTGTGAGGCTGAGGTACCAGCCTCAGAGCTCGGTGTCAACAGAGCTTGCTAGGGTAGACAACTCACACAGAGGCAGTCCAGACAAATTTCCACAGGGTGCCTTCTTCAGTGATTCAGCAATTCTACTAACTCCTCCAATGTTGTTGGAGTTATATAGGGCTACAGAAAATGCCACCGCCTCAGCTGCTGCTTTACCACCATTATGGACGGCTTATGCTCTCAGTGGCCCTTATACACCCAACAACAAAAACAACACCTCTCATGCATACATAATGACTTACTTTTTTCATTCTAGAGTATATTCCATGTTTCTATGTTATTAATATTGTTTATTATGTCATATTAGTTGAATTGTGATAGATAAATAAGCCGTAGAGTTGATATTAGTGTCATATTCTCCAACAATGAACTTGTCTCCCCTCCCTCTGCCCCGTCTGCCATACACCAACAAGAGTCTTCAATAAAGGTGTGATATTAAATGTTCATTTATACATTTTATTAGTGCTTTACATTTATTTACCATTCTTTTCTGCATGTAAATCTATATTTAAGCTAGGGAAGTGACCCTTGAAGTGGCCTAGAGTCCTTATGGAGGGGGATTCCCCTTCCAAACAATAACCTCTCTTCCCTCTCTCCTCCTCCCTGTCTTCCATTCATCAACAACAGCCTTCAATAAAAGTAACTATCATGTTGAATGTTCATTCTTTTGTGCATGTAAATCTATTTTCAAGGTAAAAACAAAAGTTTTTTTGATACTTCTGGGTGTCTGGAACAAATTAATTGGATTTACATTTTTTCTTATGGGAAAAATGGATTCACAAATCGTCAATTTCAGTAATAGTCACACTCTCTGGAACGAATTAATTATGAGAAACGAGGTTTTTGAGAAATCTTCAATTGATGTTCAGACCGGGTTACTTTAGTATTTACTGGTAATAAGTTCCAAATTTTGGGGCCCTTTATGTGCATAAAGTTCTTACATAGTGTGGTGTGGACACGAGGTTCATCAAAAAGTGATATGTGTCTTGTGTTATGGTCGTGCGTCCTGTTAAGGTTGATGAGGAGAAATTTGAGTGAAGGGTTTATGTTTGAGTGTTGTGTTTTATGTATGTAGTAGGCGCAAGAATAAGTATGAGTAGTGAGTAGTGTTAGACTTGAATATTGGTAGATTATGCTGTCTGGAGTGGGAATTTGTTATCATTCTGACTGCAGCCTTTTGCTGGGTTATTAGTGGTCTTAGGTGATTTAATGTTGTTCATCCCCATGCACAAATTCCATAGGTAGATGAGTGAGTGATACAGTGTAAGGAGAGCTGATTGTGGAACATAGTACCATATCTTTGATAGTATGCCTACTGTCTTAGAGATTTTCTTGGAAATTTCTTGTATATGGGTCTGGAATTTAAGGCTACTGTCAAGGTGGAGTCCTAGGAATTTTCCCTCTTAGTGCTATGTTAAGTGGAACATTTGTGGCTCTATTTCTAAACTGATTGAAATATGTTTTGTCAGTATTGAGTGTAAGCTTGTTAGTCATCATCCAAGCAGATAGTTTCTGCAATTCAGCATTAACAGTGTTTGCCAGTATGACTGGGTTTGGGTGAGAGAAGACGTATGTTGTGTCATCTGCAAATAATGTGCATTTGACTAGTTGTGATGCATTCGGTAGGTCATTGATGTAAATGAGAAAGAGGAGGGGGCAGTCGAAAAATGAGGTTCCACTGTATTAGGTTGTGTGGAAGAGTTAGCTCCATTTGTGTACACATATTGGCTTCTGTTACTAAGGCATGACTTTAGGTAATTGAGGGAGTGCCTTCTTATACCATAGTGTATTAATTTAACCCTTTCAGGGTCGCCAGGCCCTCTCCAAGACTTGTTCTCATGGTTCCCAAATTTAAAAAAAAAAATTATTTTTCTTATGAAAAGATAGAGAATCTTTTCTCGATCATAATGACACCAAAAGTATGAAATTTGATGGAAAACTTACGGAATTATGCTCTCGTGAAGTTAGCGGTCTCAATGATATTTATGCATCGGCGATTTTGCCCACTTTGAGCCCTATTTTCAGCCAATTCCAGTGTACTAGTCGACAAAAATCATAACTATTTTGCTAGAACTCCATTTTTTTCTATTGAATGAGTACAAGAAACCACTCATTTACCGATTTCAACTATCTAATAAAATGGTCAGAATTTAGCAATTTTTCCAATTTCACACAAATTTCAAAAGATGCCAATTTCCGAATAGGGTCCAAAATAAACAAGAAAGACATTACTGGTACTAAAATAACAAGTTCTCTGTTCGTTAGTCACATCCCCATGCCCCTCTTATATTTCTTTGGCTTTCCACTTTGAATTTTTATTCTTACAAAAAATAGAATATTTACTGTTATGCAGACTACTGCATTCGTGTAGAAATGGTATAAACAATATCAGCGCACTTGTGAAAGAATATTAGACTCACCAGTTGACGTGTATTGGACGCTTGGCATGATTTGTTTACTTTTGAACTTTGGTAAAAATCGAATATTTCTGCTATTTTGAGCTCAATTTCAAGGTACTTTTCATTGTAAAACCAGCCAAAATATCTCAATTTCTGTAATATGTCTTCCATTCTATAAAATGAGGCCAGGAAAACTAGAATACATCAATAAATACCATACAAAAATACAGTGCAAAGTCGCTGTTTTAATCCAAAAACACGGTCAAAGTTTTTTTTTTCTTATTACGCACTGTGTGCTGCAGGATTTTTTTTATACTGCACACACTGACCACTTAGACCCATTCTTTCATATGTAGGCCTACCAGCTTTCTCTCACTAGATTTGAGGGCGCTAGAATTTAGGCGTACTAGTATGCCAAAAACCCTGGGGCGTAAGCCGTACTAGTACGGCCGAAACCCTGAAAGGGTTAATGTACAGCAAATCATGGTTGACTGTATCAGAAGCTTTATGTAAATCAGTAAAGATTCCCAACGGGACTTCTTTCTTCTCGAGAGCGGTGTATATTAGTTCTAGCATGTGTACAATAGCATCATTTATACTTTTATTAGTCCTGAATCCAAACTGAGAGGGGTTGAATATGTCTTGAGAGACACGGTAGGAATAGATCTGCCTATTAATTAATTTTTCAAAGTTTTTAGAGAGCAGAGGTAAGTTAGATATTGGTCTATAGTTATTCAAGTCTGTTTGAGCTCCTCCTTTTTGAATCGGGGTGACCTTCGCTATTTTGAGAATTGATGGGAAGATTGCACTTTTGAAACACTGCTTTTGTGTAGAGTTTGTTGAAGTTAGAAATGACCTGCTGGTCCATGGGCTGGATGAGAGGAGTGGTGTTAGGAGGCAAGAACTTCAGTGTTATAAAACAGAAATCCCTAGACAATAGATCTACCAAGTTTGGAGGATGAGCAGGAGCATTGTCCATTACCAGAAGGCACTTGAGTGGCAATTTATTTTGCAGAAGGTATTTTTTCACATTCTGGCCAAACATTTCATGGACCCAGTCAATGAAAAGGTGCCTCGTGACCCATGACTTATGATTAGCTTTCCACATCACACAATTTACTCTTTACAGTATTGTTTTTCTTGAACACACTGGGATTTTCAGTGATAACACGAGTAAAGGCTTCACATTGATATCCCCACTACCATTAGCACAGAACAAAAGAATTACCCTGTCATTTATAGGCTTGTGTCCTGGCAGTGCCTGTTCCTTCTTGTGTGATGTAGGTCATCTTTGGCATTTTCTTTCAAAAGAGGCCTGTTTCATCACAATTGAACACTTGTTGGGGTTGGAATTCTTCAGTCTGTATGTACCCCTTGAATTCCTGCACAAATTTTTCAGCCACATGTTTGTCTGAACTTGCAGCCTCACCATGCCTTGCCTTTTCCCAAAGGATCATCTCTGAAACATTATCTCTCGCTAACTGTTTTTCCCTGATCCACAATGACAACTTCTCCACACCTTCATTTTTTTGTAATCTCTTTTTTGTTAACATGTTTACCCCTTTTAACAGAATTCTTTCTCCGTAAGCCATGCGTGTTGTAAGAGGCGACTAAAATGCCGGGAGCAAGGGGCTAGTAACCCCTTCTACTGTACAGTGGACCCCCGGTATTCGATGGCATTGGTATTTGATAAATCCGGTATTCGATGCATTATATCGCAAAAAATTTTCCTCAGTATTCGATTGAAAACCCGGTATTTGATACGATTCATACGAGACGTGTCCACGTGTGGCCTGAACTGCCCCGTGTGTGCCACTGTTTACAAGCCAGCCAGTGTGTGCGCATCTAAGGATACATTTGGTGCATTCCATATTATCACAGTGTTTTTGCTACTTGTTTCTGCAAAATAAGTCACCATGGGCCCCAAGAAAGCTTCTAGTGCCAACCCTTCGAGAAAAAAGTCGATAATGACTTATGAAATGAAGAAAGAGATAATTGCAAAGTACGAAAGTGGAGTGCGTGTGTCGGAGCTGGTTAGGTTGTATAATAAACCCCAATCAACCATCTCTACTATAGTGACCAGGTAAACGGCAATCAAGGAAGCTGTTGTTGCAAAAGGTGCAACTGTGATTACGAACAGCGACCGCAAGTGTTAGAAAATGTTGAGAGATTGTTATTGGTGTGGATAAATGAAAAACAGATAGCAGGAGATAGCATCTCTCAAGCTATCATTTGTGAAAAGGCTAGGCAGTTGCATGACGATTTGGTAAAGAAATTGCCTGCAGCTAGTGCTGATGTGAGTGAATTTAAGGCCAGTAAAGGTTGGTTTGAAAGACATAAGAATCGTAGTGGCATACATAGTGTGATTTGGCATGGTGAGGCTGCCAGTTCGGACCAAAAAGCAGCTGGAAAAATTTTATTATTTTTTATTATCACACTGGCCGATTCCCACCAAGGCAGGGCGGCCCGAAAAAGAAAAAC